AGCCCCTTAGAAGCCACATGCTACATAGCAAAGCCTCCCTTGATTTGGGTCCCAGAAAAACCTGCATGAAGCAGAGCCACTGTCTGGGACGCCTGACCTGAACTAAGTGAAACAGTAATAAAATTCCTGTTCTTAACGCCTCTGTGATTCGGGAGTCTATTAATGCAGCCTAGATTAGCCCAAGACAGTTATCCATCTCAAGAAGTTCACATGCTCTAAGAAAGAATTCCTATTACTGTGGAATATGGTCCATAGAGCCTTTAAGATTGGGGCAAGGCAGGGGATGCATTTTTGCAATTCAGTGTTGCTGGCTTTAAAAGCTGCAGGTTTTGCTCCCACCAAGACGTATGACCAAGTTCATGTAGGCTGAGACACCACATCATGGGTATTTTTCTGGATACAGACAAGTAAGCATTCTGAGCCAGTTCTTCTGAGGGAAGGAATTGGTGGCATGGAAGTTGAACCATTTTCTTCTTCCTACACATCCCCCTACTATCTTTCAAATGTGAAAAATCCAATATCCAGTATTTCTGTCCCTGAGGGTGTTTAAAAGAGTCACCTCAACTCCTTTGTGCTTTTCCGTTGCTATAGTGATAAGAAGGGTTAGGCGTAGACCAGAGTCTTCTCAATGCCCTAGGAGACCCAGGAGACCAGTCCACAGCGTCTGGAAGGATTAGCAGCATCCCTTGCTGTCTGCTCCAAATCTCAGGACAGAGAGAGGCCTGAGAAGTAACTGCAGTGAGTTTCTATAGGCAACACAATGACTGTGACAAGGACAAAGCCTTGGATCTTTGGACTTGTCCTTGGTTTTGTGCACTTTCCAGGGCAGCTGAAAGACACACAGTTTGGGTTCACCAAGCCAAGGAGGAGAGAGAAAGAGGGAAAACGAACAGACTGGATAGAGGATGGACACACAAAAATTTTTTTTTAACAAAGTAATATTTTTCACTGCCTAGGCAAATGATTTTTATGAAAATAGTTATATGAAAAGGAATACACTGTTTTGTTTTTACTTGGTTATCACTATCATTAGGATTTGATGCAAATGGAAATTTACAATAAAATGAAAACACAGGGGATCAAAGATTATGTACAATTTTGAGATAAGGTGATTTGTAATTTGGGCAATGTACTACTTGAGATACATATCTTGATTTCCCACCCCAGTTGCTGCAGATGCTATTTGAGGAAGCAAAGAACACATGGATGAAAAGAAAAATAATTAAATATCACTGGGCTAAACAGTTAAGACTATTACAAAGAATATGAATAACAAATTTATAATGTATTGCAATACAAATAAACAGTATTTTTAGTATAAAAATTACATTTGCATGAAGAAGCTATTTAGTAACAAATATGATTAAACTACATCAGAAACGTTCAAGTTGTATGATTCACATATATACAGTGTTACAGTTCACATGAAACTTTACTGAGAAGAAGCCATCTGAAGGCCACATCCTGGTCTGAAATTGTCAAAGGCCTTTCAACCCACCCGTCTGGTTCAGGAAAGATGCTCAAAAAGCTACCACATCGGGGTTCTTCAGACTTGATGACTCCACATTTGGTTTTTCAAGACAAGCCATAATCTTCTAAAGAGGAGCAAAATGTAGGACTGAGGTGAAGTGATACTAAAAAAGAAGGAACTTTTCTGTTGGCACAAAAGATTTACATGAATACTTTCCAAAATGTTGTTATATTTGACAGGATGGGTCAATCACACATTTATAATACTGGCAAAATAATACTTCAACACTGAAATGAAGGACACAGATGAACTATCAATACACATTAGCAAAAGCACCAATCTCTCCCTTCACGCCAATTTAAGGTTTTATGCTGAAATCTCAGGTGTACCCTATTGTTTCTACCTTTAATAGAGTCTTTAATGTTTCCCATTCTGTAAAGCAGCATACAGGCTCCACTCTTAAAGGACTTGGTAATAAAAAGTCACATACTAAGTACTTACTTAAAAGACATTTTTATCACCTGCTCCAAAGGTATTCCAGGATGCAGGCTCTGCAGGCTTATATATACCGAAATCATGTAGCAACACCATAGCGATCAACGAGGGTTTTAGCCGTAAAAAAGTAAAAATTTGGCTTTCTCCATTGTCAATAGCCAACCCAGCCACAGCTTGTTTACTTTTTATTACAGTACAGATTTTGGATTCCTTTGTGTAGTTACAGAGGCCGGTGGCTAACGGGGATCACAGGCACGAGATCAGTTGTAAGTACGCGCCCACGCAGGGCAAGTGCATGGCCCTGTGAACTCAAAGCGCCCCACCTCTCACCCCATTCAATGCTTACCCTCCACAGGGAAGGAAAGAAGGGGGACTACCTATATGTTGCTTCAATTTGAACTTTCTCAGCAACTTGGGGTGGTTTAGTAGATCTTGCAAGAGATGAACAATTGCAGAATATTATTCTTGCAAGAATAATAAAAGTAACTCGGAAAAAGGTAGCTGAAGTTTCAAACTTTCCTTCTAATCAGTGAAAAGGCACCCTGCTCCAACTACTCACACATAAAGCACTGCACCCCCATTCCAAAATCCATTTACTTTTATTTAATTTACCTAATTTTGATTTATACAAAATTCTATTCTGTACTTAAATAACTGATATTGCGATAGAGGGAAGCATGATTATTTATTTTTTAAATCAAAATCATGTTTCCATGCACTTGACTTTTGGATTAAATATATTATCTACAGGAAAAATCCATAAAATCCTATTGAAATGTTAATCCAATTTTAAATTACTTTAGGTTGACTTTTCTCTTTTAGTTTTATATTCATTAAGTATTAAAAACAAACCTAAAGGCCTCAAATGGAAAGAAATTAAATTAGATGTGTACTTATCAAGCCATTTAGTAAAAACCCTATCTTTTGCCACGATGTTAAAAAAAGGGAAAAATGGTTCCCATAGCCAGACACTTCAATTTTTAATGGATCCTCTTCTCCAAACTGTTTTCTCTTCTTCTGCCAATTTTTTAAAGTGTTGCTGAGAAAGAAACTACATTTTTCTTATTACATAATTAGGTACTATTTGGGATCCAAGTGGAAATTGGCCTTACATTTATAAAAAGCCAAAGCAGATTGTATTTCTTCATTCCTTCCCCTCTAGTCAAATACTCCACTTAAAAAAACCCAAATATTTCAATATGGGGGGGGGTGCATTATACAGAAAAGCTACTATGAAACCTTTCTTATTCCATGCATCTGAAGTTGAACTTAATGATCTTTGAAAACTGTTCCAGCTGATTATAAGAGAAAGAAATCCAGTGACAAGAGGGTAGACCCAGCTCAGCTCTGGTCCAGAAAGGCTTCCTGCTATCAGGGAGATGGAGCTGCCGCCATCAGAATCGTGGTGCTTTGGGAGAGGATGTGTCAGAGACCTCATGGCAGGAGGGACAGTAATGAGCAAAAGTCAAGGTTTTCCCAGTCTGCCAGTTCAGTGATGGCTTCAAACTTGGTCATGTTCCTATCTGAAGACAAGAACTATTGGTGACTCTTAATGAACCTCACCGTACTGGGGGATAAGACTGTCAGGTAAGTGAGCTGGAAAGATGAAAAATAACCATCTCTAAAAACTGGATTCTGTCAGAATAAAAACTCCCTTTGTGTGAGGCTTGCAACTGACTCATTCAACCACACCAGGGTAGAGAGTTTCAGAACCTCCCCCTCTTCCAGTGAGCCAGTATTCAAAGTTAATACAAGGCAAGGGTTATTTAAACAGCCAGATAGGAGTATATTGCATATTTCTTTTTAAAGATGACAGAAACTTTGAATTTCATAAACCTGTACTACTTATTATTCTGTCTGGACCCAAGGGGTGTGGGATCAACTTCAGACATCTTTCATAAGCTTGGAATCTAATTTTATGAATTCATTCTAAGACATAAATCAGGTAAGGCAGAAGTAGATGGATAGATTTTTTAAAAGAAATTGGGCCCCTGGGGTACTTTTAGTAGATTGACTAGTGAGAGATTTACAGGGATAAAATTTTTTACAAGATTAAGGAAGAAGGAAACGAAACCAAATCTTTCATTTCTAGATATTCACTTTCATTAATTCTTTCACCAAAAGCACATCATTGAAGGAAAACCAGAAATGGTTTTTTAGTTATTATTAAAATGGTTCAAGAGCCAGGGAACCCCTTGAGATGGAAACAAAACAACACAGTATTTGAGTTTTCTTCACAAGACTACCTTGTACTGGCAACACTTAGGAGACTTCTGGCTTCAAAAAGAATATTGCTCCAAGAACTTTTTGAAAAAAAATTACTACATTTTGGCAAAAAACAACAACAAAAGTCTCTCCTGTAAAATCCCTACTTCCTTTTGAATCTCCAAAAGTTACAACATTTCACTCGAGATGGTTGGCAATCATAGATTCATGAGCTGTGGTTCCTGATTAGCTCAACTCTAAAGTCAGAATAAATGCAGCTGATGTCAACTCAGCTGCTGCCTGAGTCCTCTCACTAAGAAAGTATTGTGAAGATTGTGGGGAGCCTGCAGGCCCACGGTGAGAAAGTTGGAAATGTGAAAGGTAAGAAACAAAACATAAAACACGAGATTTAGAGAGTTGGGATGAATTCCAAGCTCTTTTCTACAATAATATCCAGGGCCCTCTCAATTTCTCTAAAACTGTGTCCCTGTTCAGTGGTGCCTGGCATTTCTTACAGTTTGACAAAAATAAATACTTCACACAAGAAGAGGAAGCAAGACTTCTGCTACACTTTGAGGACACTCAGGCTGCTCTGCTTTCACTTTATGGAGACTGCAGCCTCGTCTATGAACGATGCTCATGAGGGGTTGTTTCCTCTGGTCAAATCTCTCCAGCCCCAAGCAAATAAACTTGTGCCCATCCCAAGTCCCCAGACAGATCCTAACACCACGTTTGTTTTTTTGTATCCTGATTGTCATGCCTGAAATTCTCATTAATATACATGAGGCTTAATGCCATGAGACTACATGACTAGAGATTGTTTTTTTTTAAGAGAAGCTTGCTCATTCAGGACAAAATAAGGATTTGGTTTAAACCGCAGACCAGAGGAAAGCTGACATATTCCTTTGGTCTGTATTCTTGGAAATACTGTCATTAAACCTATGGTCCCTTATCAGCATGCTGACTTTTGCGCTGCCTCAATGTGTCTTCCGCCACCTCTGTGTCAGCTGAAGAGCGCTGCTGAGGGACGTCGTCTTCAGTCGCATCAGCTTCTACGTCTTCCTGCGCCTCTCTCAGGGGACCCTGGTCCTGGGCGTCATTCCTCTCCTCATCCACACCAGCAGTCAGGTTGTCTTCCTCCTCTTCCTCCTCTGCTTCATCCTCATCGCCAAGGTCTTCTTTCTCCTCTTCATCATCTACAAGGCTGTCCTTGTTTTCTTCTTCATTTGAATCTTCTTTTTCCTCCTCTGCATCCTGCAACTGTTCAGCCCTGTGAGCCTCCTCTGACTCCCGATTCTGCTCTGTGGAGGGAAGAAAGGGCAATGTCCTCTGAATAAACAACGGTCACTGAACAATCAACTGAGTGTGTTTAGCTGTGAAATTAAACAATGGGGCACCTGACAGTTTTCTCCATCTAGAAGCTAGGTTATCACACAAGACAGATCTCCGGCTGGCATCCTAGCCCCATCTAGGGCTTCTCCATCCCCCTCTGGAGATTTCACCGACCATGTTCACTTTGGCAGAGCACAGGGCCAGGGAGGGCAAAGGTTCCTTCATGCTTTGTACTTTGTACCTTGCAGACTGCTCAGTGATGCACTCACTGGTCATGGTGATTGGTTTAGAAATGTGACTTACTCAAGTCAGAGCCAATCAGAGTACTTCCCAGGAGTTGTGGGCCAGAGTGAGGAAGAAAAAACTTTCTCTCTTTCTACAGGGATTGCTAAGCTGATAAAATGTGCGTTACGGCTGTTGACAGCTACTGAATTAGCCACGTGGAAACAGAAATCTAAATATCCCTTGGGCTGTGCTTGACACCAGAACATCCCTGGACTTTTTCAGTTATGTGAGATAATAAATTTTCCTTTTTTCCCTAAGTTGCTTTAAACTGAGTTTCTCTTACTTTTAAGAATTCTAAGGAACATAATATATTTTCTAATTATCTGTGGAAGTCTCAAAGCCTTGAACACTTCAAGCACTAAAAATAAATATAAGCTTATTTAAATTCCCACATAAAATTCAACAATTACAGTCTCATAAAAGTCTTCATGCAAAGGCTCAAAAGTAGGAATAAAAACATGCAAATCCAGGGCTATTGGGTCCCAGAAACAGGGTGGAGCAGTGCAAGTATTGAGAAGACTGCTTTTAAAGGACTTAGGATGGTTACTGGTATACAGGCATACCTCATTTTATTGTGCTTCGTATATATTGCATTTTTTACAAATTGAAGGTTTGTGGCAACCCTCGATTAAGCAAGTCTCTATAGGTACCATTTTTCCAACAGCATTTGCTCACTTCGTGTCTTTGTGTTACATTTTGGTAATTCTCGCAATATTTCAAAGTTTTTCATTATTATTATATTTGTTATGGTGATCTATGATCAGTGATCTTTGATGTTACTACTGTAATTATTTTTGGGAGCCATGAACCACGCCCATATACGACAGTGAACTTAATAAACGTATGTGTTCCGACTGTTCCACCTACCTGCCATTCCCTCGTCTCTCTCCCTCTCCTCAGGCCTCCCTATTCCCCGAGACACAACAATATTGAAATTAGGCCAATTAATAACTCTACAATGGCCTCTAAGTGTTCAAATGAAGAGTCACACATCTCTCACTTTAAATCAAAAGCTAGAAATGATTAAGCTTAGTGAGGAAGGCATGTCAAAAGGGCAAACAGGCCCAAAGCTAGGCCTCTTACACCAAATAGTTAGCCAAGTTGTGAATGCAAAGGAAAAGTTCTGGAAAGAAATAAAAAATGCTACTCCAGTGAACACATGAATGATAAGAAACGGAAATAGCCTTATTGCTGATATGCAGAAAATTTTAGTGGTCTGGATAGAAGATCAAACCAGCCACAACATTCCCTTAAGCCAAAGCCTAATCTAGAGCAAGGCCCTAACTCTCTTCAATTCTATGAAGGCTGAGAGAGGTAAGAAAACTGCAGAAGAAAAGTGTGAAGCTAACAGAGGCTGTTCATGGAGGTTTAAGGGAAGAAGCCATCGCCATAACATGAAAGTGCCAGGTGAAGCAGCAAATGCTGATGTAGAAGCTGCAGCAAGTTATCCAGAAGATCTGGCTAAGATAACTAATGAAGGTGGCTACACTAAACAACAGATTTTCAGTGCAGACAAAACAGCCTTATGTTGGAAGAAGATGCCATCTAGGACTTTCATAGCTAGAGAGGAGAAGTCAGTGCCTGGCTCCAAAGCTTCAAAGGACAGGCTGACTCTCCTGTTAGGGGCTAATGCAGCTGGTGACTTTAAATTGAAGCCAACGCTCATTTACCATTCCGAAAATCCTAGGGCCCTTAAGAATTATGCTAAACCTACTCTGCCTGCGCTCTACAAACAGAACAAGAAAGCCTGGATGACAGCACATTTGATTACAACATGGTTTATTAAATATTTTAAACCTACAGTTGAGACCTACTGCTCAGGAAAAAAGATTCCTTTCAAAATATTACTGCTCATTGACAATGCACCTGGTCACTCAAGAGCTCTGATGGAGATGTACAACGAGATAAATGTTGTTTTCATGCCTGCTAATACAACATCCACTCTGCAGCCCATGAATCAAGGAGTAATTTTGACTTTCAAGTCTTAATATTTAAGAAATACATTTTTTAAGGCTATAGCTGCCATAGATAGTGATTCCTCTGATGGACCTGGTTAAAGTCAATTGAAAACCTTCTGGAAAGGATTCACCATTCTAGATACCATTAAGAATATTTGTGATTCACGGGAAGAGGTCAAAATATCAACATTAACAGGAGTTTGGAAGAAGTTGGTTCCAACCCTGATGGATGACTTTGAGCAGTTCAGGACTTCAGTGGAGGAAGTAACTGGAGATATGGTGGAAATAGCAAGAGAACTAGAATTAGAAGTAGGGCCTCAAGATGTGACTGAATTGCTGCAATCTCATGATAAAACTTTAACACATGAGGAGCTGCTTCTTATGGATGAGCAAAGAAAGTGGTTACTTGTGATGGACTCTACTCCTGGTGAAGATTGTTGAAATGACAACAAAGGATTTAGAATATCACATAAACTTAGTTGATAGAGCAGCAGCAGAGTTTGAGAGGACTGACTTTAATTTTGAAAGAAGTTCTTTCTTTGAAAGAAGTGGGTAAAATGCTATCAAACAGCACCGCATGCTACAGAGAAATCGTTCATGAAATTAAGAGTCAGTCAATGTGGCAAACTTTATTGTTGTCTTATTTTAAGAAATTACCACAACCACCTGAACCTTCAGCAACCACCACCCTGATGAGTCAGCAGCCATCAACACTAAGGCGAGACCCTCCACCAGCAAAAAGATTATGACTTGCTAAAAGCTCAGATGATGGGTAGCATTTTTTAGCAATAAAGTATTTTTAAATTAAGGCATGTACATTGTTTTTTAGACATAATGCTATTGCACACTTAATAGACTATAGTATAGTGTAAACATAACTTTTATATGCACTGGGAAACCAAAAAATTCATGTGACTCGCTTCATTGCGATATTGCCTTATTGTGGTGGTCTGGAACTGAACCCACAACATTTTCGAGGTATGCCTCTATAGGAGATTGAATAAATGTGAATTCCCTTCCCTCCCTTCTCATTGCAGTCTGAATGAAAGAAAAGGTGTCAAATGATCAATGAAGGGCATACACTTAAAGGGAAAAAGCAACTGACACAATGAAATATTCCCTAATTTACGAGAGGAAAAAAAGAATTTTTGCTCAAATCTATCTAAACAACACATTTCAGGGAACTGGGTAGTGACAATGGTTTGATCACCTAGCAAGTCAGGGGGAAAACCCACTATCTATATGAGCACAAAAGGGCACACCACTGAATTCCAAAAATACTCTATCGCATGAGTTTATCATACTTACTGGAATGTTCAGATAAATGCCTTGGAAGTGGCACATAGAAACATTCTGATATTACCACCAAGACCTGGAAGGAAAAAAGTGATTTTACAGTGAGTAGATAGGACATTTATTACCAAAGAACCTCAAAATCAGGCCTTGCTTCTATAAACAGATATTCATAGACAAATAATTAGCAATTGGTCAAAAGTCCTCAAAAAAGACAAGGATGTTATTAAGAATTTCCTATTTTTCAAATGTGACATCATATAGGAAAATACTATTAATTTAGAACAGAGGTAACAAAGGCAAATGTCTACAGAGAGCCACTACCCCTAGATAAAACTAGATGAATCAAGCAGGTATAAGAAAAAAGATACTATCAGCCAAGTCTAAAATGGTCTTTTAAAAAACACTATTCTAGACAAATAAAACTAGTCTGTATATGAGCTGCCCCTCACCAATAGGTAACCCTGATTGTGTGGAAGAATATTTTAGGGTCTAGAATTCTGAAGAGCATCAAAAGAAATTTCTACAGGGATAAATTGTGAGAAAACCCATCAATGATGTGAACTAAATCCTATTTTAGACAGTGATTGACTGGCTTCACCTCCGACCTTGATTGCAGCATGAGTCACTTTCTACTTACTATTAACATGTCCTTTCCCTTCGTAAACTACAAGCTCCTTAGGGGCAGGTTCATCCTAGTCCATGTTCCATGCCTAGATTGGCACGGGCCATGGTGATGAAACTGATGGGATGTGTCAAACAGAGCCAAGTTAGCTGGAGCTGGAACAACATGGGGCCACTCTCTACACCTTCCCCTACATACTGACCTTACAGCACCACACAGCACAGAGAGACCCAACACAGGAAGAAGCTGCCTGTTTAGAAGGCCTATACATTTCTTCTTGTATCTAGCTAACTCCCAGACTTAGCCTACACTTTGAATAATTGCCTGGTCTTTAGGAATAGTACTTCATACTTTAGTGTTTTAAGGTGCTCTAAACTTTTAAAGAACCCAAAGTCATAGTCCTTTTGATTTAATTTCACAAACATCAAATGAGTAACCTGCTTTGATTATTACCATCTGTATTCATTTACTACTTCACTCAACATTTGGTTCATTAGGTTCAAGGAATCATGCTAACATCTAGGGGAAGAGGTTCAAAAAGAGAAAAAAATGGCAGTTTAATTATAAAACAATATGGAACGAGTCTCAATAGAAAAATGAATAAAGCACTTTGATAGATATTCAAGAGAGAGATAGAGATTACAACCAGTAATAGGGTGGGGAAGGATTGAGAAGGACCACTTGAAGGAGGAGGCATTTAAGGTCCAGGGCATAGTCAGGAGAGGATGAGCAGCCCCAGCTGTCTGGCTCCTCTAAGCTACACCAAATTGCGTAATGCGGGCTCCTAGATCCAGAGAAAGCCCCAAGCACCAGCTGAGGAGACCCCTGTGGTGGGGCAATGGCCTGCACAAAGCTCTGTGGGTTGGAGAGGAACAAGCTCCTAGTCATTCAATTGATTTGAACAACAAAGAGGAAAACATTTCCATCTGAAAAGACTGAGCGAAAACTTACATTTTTAATGTGATAGTAATGTGCTTATTAGCTATTCATGGGACATAATACTTTTTGTGATTTTTTTTTTTTCTTTTGCCTTTCTTAATTCCAACTGGAGGGGAAATTTTTGGTCCAGACATATTGCAAGTGAAAGAAGAAACACCTGCCAGTGACAAATATTGGCATTTACAACAAAGCCTGGGAACAGTTAAGTCCCACCTGTGATATACTGGGGCCATCTAGAGGACTAGGTAAGGAGCCCTGGAAAAGACTTATGGGACACTGGCCTCAACCTTCTCTCTCTTAGCTGTGTGAACCTAGACAAGTCACTTAACTGTTCTCTTGCACTCTCTCTTGAAAGGACATGTTTCGGCTAGCCTACCACCAAGGTCTGCTTTATGTCAAATAGTACACAATTCCAATATATAGTCTTCCTTTTCAGAAATTGGGAGGAAAACCCTCTCATCTCCCCGATTCTCTCAGTTCAAGATCTATTTTCTGGTCTAGAGAATTACTCCCTTGGAAGAGGCCACTTTCTGAGCCATGGCAATGTTTAAAAACAGGGTCTAGGGGCTAGCCCAGTGGCATAGCAGTTAAGTCCGCATGCTCCGCTTGGGTGGCCTGGGGTTCGCGGGTTCGGGTCCTGGGCACGGACCGATGCACCGCTTGTCAAGCCATGCTGTGGCGGTGTCCCATATAAAGTAGAGGAAGGTAGGCATGGATGTTAGCCCAGGGCCAATCTTCCTCGGCAAAAAGAGGAGGATTGGCAACGGATGTTAGCTCAAGGCTAATCTTCCTCATAAAAAAAAAAAAAAAAACAGGGTCTATAGGGGGATGCTGCCTTCCTCCTCATCTTCCTTTCCAGGGTTATATTTTCAAGTTTCAGGTTTTACCCAGGTAGGAGCAGACAGCCACACATCTAAATGAGGAGAGCAGACAGATTTACCATCTCTCATAGACAGTGACATCTATGCCTCCTAATACTGGAGACCCTCATCTGTGAGAGGCTCTGTGCTAGGCACTGGTCAGCAGCATGTAGAAAAATAATCTACCCAAGCACCAAAATTTAGATAGTGTCCATATAAACCAACCAAAATGAGGACCAGATAATGCAGGGTAAAGATCGCTGCCTGTGTTTTCCATTGCTTTTCTGCTTGTGTAGAGCTCTGCTGACTTCCATCCTTCATGGCAGAGTTGCTAACAGTGGAAAATGATGCTGCCAGAGTGATCTGATATATAGACTATGCACTTAATGATCTTTCCCATATTGGTTTGAAATGCAAAATGTATACTTGATTTCTAAAACTGAGCCCTTTGTTTACATGTGAAAAATAACATTTAGTAAAATATTTCAACCATCACCAGGCTCAATCAAGAAAACAAACAAAAATCAAACTAGCAGCCTTGTTTTGACTTCTCATTTTTTAAAATTAGGAAAAAACAGGAAACATAATAGTCAGGCTTATGGGAAATAATGACTTGATCAGGAAATCTCTTCTCTATGGAAAACATCCTGCCCCTCCTGGCCACTGTGTAAGTTCAACTCCATAAAGACTCAGAGGGAAGGAAATCTTCCCAGGTCACCAGGACCAAACTTCACATGACTGCATGACTAGGCTCTGCTTTCAGGCCCCAGTTAATGGTAAAGGCGAAACAGAGTACTGAACTACATACCTGGAGATCTCATTGCAGGCAAAAATTCTAGCTGTGTGTGTTTCTTTTAACACATATTACAGTTTTAGAAAAGGCATTTTGAGGAGAGATAAGTGTTTGCTATTTTATGGAAATGTATTAACAGAAAATTAGGAGTCTATCACTGCTTTGAAATTACTATTATTTTGTTCAAGTTCTCTTCCCAATTTCCCATAAAGGAACAATATTCTATATCACTTAATCACTTGAACAGTCTCTAGAATCAACTCTCTTCTTTCTTCAGGGCAAGCCTCTAATAACTTTCCTACACTGATTATTTAAATCTAAATTTCCAAATGACTTAGGGCAGAGGCAGGCCTGACTTGATTCTGTGGACTTAAAGTCAACCTCAAAGATAAAATTCTAAAACACTTTATGCTGAGAAGAGTTTTTAATGGTCTTCCAATAGGCTCATACTCAACCTACATTCTCCATAACGACGTTAGAATTGCCCAGGAACTCATACTGCTTGCACTAAAAGAGCCTCACACTCATGTGCCTCCAGAATACACTGCTAGAAAAATCTAGCACTAGACAGTAGACGGGAGTAGTACATTTATATCCAAAGTCAAATTTACATCCAAAGTCAAATCCTTTTAGGCCAGAGCATTAGGGACAAGTTAATTAGCAATAAGATTAATGCAACAGAACGGAACATACCCAGGACCTAATCAATGACTTATCTAAGTTTTATCCCCACCTTTGAAATTAACATCAGCAGTCAAATCTCAAATAGAAACCATAATATGCAGTAAGCATGTTCATGGCAAAATAAAATCAAGACTCCTTGGCTCCTGTCTCAAGTTATGACTTGCTTTCAAGGCAACTGCTAACATTTTAAGTTTATTTTTAAAAAGATATTTCTAAAGAGCAGAAATTCATTATAAAATGTAAAGACAGACTGTAAGATAATCTTACCTAAAAGTCTCTTTTTATATAAATTTTTAGTTATCATCAGTTATTCATATAATACAGTGTTTAGGAGCTATAATTAACATAGAGCATAATGACTTTTAAGAAGTTCTTATCTTAATTAGAGTTTAAAGCTCAATCAAATTGATCAAGTGTAAGTAAAGACAAAGATAAAAAAATTATATCAAAGAGTAAAACATGCCAAAACATTTATAGTTGCCTATATAGTTAACCAAATAAATTTATTATTCCAACTCTTACCTAAAATATCTAGGGAGAAAATGCACAGATACCTACTGGATAGTGATCTTCATACCCAAAGAAGATATAGTGATGTGCTTTGCATCTTATTTTTTTCCATAATGACTGTGTTTTCATTCACATTACCATACAAAATCCACCTTGGGAAAACCAGAGTGTATGTATAAGCAGCTGTTCAGGATTAGATGTTCAATTTGAGAATATGAACAAGAAAAAATCATCTTGTTCACCCAAGGAACAAATTCACAGCTTTGGCCTTATCATCAGCATTCTAATCAAGCAGGCAATGTGTGAAATCACAGCTGACTCGGTTGTCTTGGAAACTGACTACCAATTCAAGTAAGTCTCTATTTCTTCTTTCATCACTGTCTATATTTTGGGCAGAATATTTAAAGGCTACGCTTAGGAGATAATAATTTAATGAATTTTCCATTATATCACAGTTATCATTGAAAGCAGTATCAAACAAGCAAATGCTATTTAACTGTTTAGATTACACACAAAATATTATCTGTTTATGTGCTTTTTCTTTCTTGAATGCTTTCTAACTTTGCATGAAAACTAGTTGGCTTTAAAGACAGGAAAAAAGATTGGCTTTATCTCTTACCAGACCCATGAAAAGGCCAAAAATCAAGGTGGCTATGACGAAAAAGACATATGAACACCAAGCAGGAATTCCAAGGGTCACTGTGAAATAGTTGTGAAGATGCTGTAATCAGAAGAAAAAAAAAAAAAATTACTTACAATGAGGATTAAACGTGTTTGAATCTCCCTCTCTAGCTACAACTCAAGTCCGCAAATTGTTTCTACATATATGAGCTCCCACAAAGTTCATCCAGTAGTTTATGCATCTATCTGATTCTTCAAAAATAAGTCAAATTTTACAACATTGAGAATCTGAGAGTAATAATCAAGGTCCTTTCTAGTAAGAGTTTTGTTACACTTCCTTGAAGTCCATGATCTAGTAGAATTCTGGTAGAATTGTTTTTCTAGTCCCTTCTTCCATCATGATAGATTTTTTTGGTCACTCTTGCCTAATAATTATATATACCTCACTTTTAACTCATAATATGGCATCTATAAAAAATTAAACTTCTTGACTCATTACCAATTTTTAAGTAGAACTAAATTACTACTTAAGAACATCAACCATTTAAAATGTCTCTATACTTCCTTTTTTCTAATCAGATTCTCATTGCTCTACCCTTACCCATTCTTAACAACTTCCCTAAATTGCCATAAAACCTAAAATGTAATACTAGAAGAAAATTTTTCCAGTTAATTCATTATGAGCAATTCATTATAAGATTTCATCTTTGAGTAGAGCGCACATGCTTAACTGTTCCCTGGGACTCTGTTTGATACCAAACACCAAAAAATGAGTGAAGAGATACGATCTTGGCTAGAAATTATTTACATGCTAAATAATACAGAATTACAGATATGAACCTGCTAGTCTGGAGTCAAAGCCCACTTACATGTGGACTTGAAGGAGCCATGCTTCCTTATGAGGGTTTAGTAGCCATCTGTTTTAGGCCCTTAGAGCTTCAAAAACAGTAATTCACTATGATACGAGCAATTATTGGGCACATGATGAAATGGCTCCAAGCTAAATGCCTCAGCAGGCAGAGATAAAGACTGAATGACTTGCCCAGAACTGATGAGGTGGCTGAAAATGAGTTCAAGCTTCTATTTTAATTTAATGTTCCTCAAAATCTGAATTACTCAAGTATCTCCCATTGGTTTCTCGGTTTATAAATGTCAATACAATTAAGTAACATATTTCATTCTGGCTTAATTCTGAATGATAAACAAATAAAAAAGCTTGTTAACTGATCTAGAATAATCTGAGATCCCCTGTCTCCAATTTCTTATTCAGCAGAAGAGACAGATCTAAAGACTCAGCTAGTATTTTAAACACTAACACATATAATCAGTGTTAATAATAAATATTTGTTGACTAAGAAAATGATACTAGCAAATCCTTAAACTATTCTTAGGAAATGCAAACAACTCTTAATTTGTAAACTATCATCTGTCCTCTATTGGTGGCATTGGTCATCCTTCTGTCTTTACCCAGGGCAATTGTTTATTAAGAATAATCCAGCATTCTGCAACTCAGCAGGCAAAAGAGGTATTTGGGATATCAAAACACTGTTTCATTCAAACTCTTTTCAATGGAATTCTAAAATGTATTGCACTGGGCCCTGCTTTAGAAAATTCTATGTATTGAACACAGTTTATGCTGTTCTTGATGACTCAGTGCCATCATCAGGAATAAACTCTGAAACGTACCAAAGAATTAGAAGATATGGAAAGCCAGTCTGCATTTGTGCTGACCCATGGATGTATGTACTCTGGAATTTGCTTTATAAATATCTGCCGTTCTGCCTTACTCATATGGTTAGAATGAACAATGTGCAGTTTTAAGTCCTTCTGGACAGTGTCTTATGCCCTTTCTGCAAAATAAATGATTCAAGTAACCCTCAACAAACTTTCTAAGTTATTTTCTAGAATGCAGTAGGTTATTTGCCTTTGTATCATTGCATTCTGAGTCACACACTTCTTAGCACATTCAAAACATCCTCTTAAAATAAGCTCCACTTCAATTTTCTTGTGTTAACTTAGTCTTTAAAGGATTTATTTGCGCTTCTTAGAGAAGCCCTGCCATCTTGTGGTCTTTTAGGTGACTATTACTAAAGCCTCATTAATCAAGTTGTGTTTTCACAACCTCAGACATAAATCTTTATCTGTTTACTCTACCTGATTCCACAATGGTTTTGGAGCACCTTAAGAGCGTTAGGCTTCATGGTACTAGGTACCTGATGCTTTGCTGTATACATGTTTCCAAACAATAACAGATTAAAACTGATCTAATTCTGTTAATTGCCACGCAGTGACAGTTTTCACTTGCAGAAAATACTGATCCTTGTTCAATATTATATGTGCTCATTAGAGGAAGCAGCCTACTGTTTCTTTAAAATGCACAAAAATGTTGCTTAATGGGCCTGATACCTTATACTATTATACTATTGTAATAGATGACTGAGTTAGAGCTAAGTTTTGGCTACGTACAGATTTGAGTGAGAGAACTAAATAAAGACATCATTGCAGTAGAATAAATGATAAGAACATTCCAATGAGTGGTGAGATGGATTTAAGGAGTGGAGCCAGGCCAAGGCCCACACTGTAGCCAACTGTGAAAAGAAAGGAAAAGACAGAAAGCCTGGAAAGCCTCTCCAAACATATGTCACAAACAAAAATTTCAACCCCAGGATTCCTAACCCTGACTATGGCGCCAGCCTCAACAGTGGTGCTTCCCAAGTTCAATCTTTTGCACACCAGTTTCATGGCATCAGCCTCACCTTGTACTATCCTTTAGATTATTAACATTTTTCATTAAGTTGAGTCACTTTTTTTTAAGTTGAATAAAATTTTAAAGAAATTTTATATTCCTACCATAAATAGAAAATCAGTATCAATTCTGTATCTAGAAGATGTCTACTCTTTGAGAAACTTCTCTTGTTGTTGTACATCTTGCAGGCTTCAGTGACTCCTGTGAGGTGGGCAGAATGTAAAAACTATACATGAAGATAGGTATTATAGCTAAAGTGGCAATGACTTCTAGGAGTTTATATAAAAATTAAAATATATAAGGGATGCCATCATGACTAGATTGGAAAGACAATTGGAATTTTGGTGATGGAAAGAACACGCCAGATTATCTACTCTTGTCCCACACTGTGGTAGAAATTATCTATCAAGGATCCCTAGGATTCCAGGTGAGAGCAGGAAGCTCACAGGGTCTGGCTTTTAAGACTATTCAAAGGGCTTCCTCACCTCAATGGTTTATTCAAGCAAGAACATATGGGAGGTTAATGTAGATTTAAGAAAGTCAAATGCAGACCCAACAAAACCCCTTAGTTCATTAGAACTCAGCTGTGTGGGTGTCATCACCCGGGGACCCTGGCATCCTGAGGACCAGCTTTTATCTCCGGAATGCCAGACCCAGCAAGCTGGCTTCACTGCTAAGGCAGAAACTCAAGGACTTTAAGGAATCACTAGTTCTGATCTTCTAGATGTTGCTCTTGTTTTTGTTTTTTCTTTTTCATTAGAGAAAAATTACAAATACAGAAAAAGATTTTTAAAAATCAGTTGTAATTTCAGTATCAGAGATAACCATTGTTGATATCTGATTAATCTCTCTCTAGGCATTTTCCTAAATATACACAAAAACTCTGTATAAACATTACACTATACAAACTGTTATCTTTTCCCCCACTTAATAACATGCAATTTTCCCTATGGAAGTATTTACATCTAACTAGCTACCCACCCAGGGGAGACTGTTGCTGAGGAAAGACTGACTGCTATCTGTCTATGTATCCACAAAAAGAGATTGTGGCTAGGCATCAACAATCTTCCCTCACTGGCATTAGTTCCTCTATGTCTTTCTTTCTTCCCTGTTTTTATCTTCTTTCTTGAAGACTACACTCTTTTAGTTCTAGCCATGCTCTCTGTCTCACCACATGCTGTGCTTCTTCTGTTCTTGTTAATATGGTTGCAGTACAGTTTTATATTATTTAGACATAAGTTAAAAACAGAGTATGCTCCCCACAATTATACATTCAACATTGATGTGAGGATCTTGAGCAAGGGAGAAAAACCAGCTAAATAAGCCAACTGAGTGGGCCAGGAGCACTGGCTCAGTAAGTGGTTCTGTGAGAGCAACAGGCAAGACTGCACCTAGAGGTTGAAGTGGCAACCAGAGACCTGACAGGTAGCCAAAGATTGGATCCCACCAAGCCAGGGATCATACCCTCTGTGAATAAGAGGATAAGGGTTAGATTCTAGAAACAGGTAGGTGGTGAGAGCCCTTCCCAGAGATTTAATAAAACACTATTTCTAAGAATAAAAGAAAGTGCAAAAGTTATCAAGAGGTTTGGGGAAGCTAGATGCTGACACAGAGGGTGTAATTATATTTCTATTACAGATTTTTAAGGTAACGTATACACACACATGAGAAGATAATAAAAACAACCTACAAACCTACCATTTATATTCTTTTGGTCATGTACACTCCCCTCCCACCTGACCCCTCTACACATACACAATCTATATTCAGAGCAAATGTATTAGTGATCGTAATAAATATAAATGGACTAAATTTATCAGTTAAAAGAATTTCTTCTTGCTATATGCTTTTTACAAGACTCACTTAAAAGATAACTACCACAGAAAGGTTGCAAGTGATAAAAAAAAATTCCAGGAAAATGCTAACCAAAAGAAAAAGAATATAGTATTAACACTAGACAAATATGACCTTATAGAATGTAAAATGTAATTGTTTGTGTGTCAAATTCTACAGTCTATCTTATAAAACTCTATTTTGTTGTTCCTTTTTTTTATAATTTTATTTATTTATTTTTTTCCCCAAAGCCCCAGTAGATAGTTGTTTATGTCATAGCTGCACATCCTTCTAGTTGTTGTATGTGGGACGCGGCCTCAACATGGCCGGAGAAGCGGTGCGTTGGTGTGCGCCCGGGATCGAACCCGGGCCACCAGTAGCGGAGCGCGTGCACTTAACCGCTAAGCCACAGGGCCGGCCCTTTTCTTCCCTTTTTTGATATGTGGAAAGACATTCTAAATATATATATATCTATAAATATCATATATGCTTTACTTCTCAATCACTAAGAAGAACATCTTAATAGGTTATTCAGAGATGAATGATATTCTATTCTCCAAATGGCCCTTTGTTTTCAGTCCCATGCATCCACACGGAATCCATCCATGTTGCCCAAGGCTGGGCACTGTGTGTACAAAGATAAAACATCCATTCCCGGCCTTGATGTGCTCCAAATGCCACACATTGTAATCATTTGCATGATATAATGAAAAACTGTAACTCTTTATCTAAACTCTTGTTTAGCTAAGCACTAAATGCCAAGCTATATGAAGTCAGAGCAATTATTTATCTTCCCTGATACCGTCTTTGAAAGTAAAACTACTCTTTAACAATGTGTGAAGGCCATGACCAACTTCCACCTAAGCTCTTCTTAACTCACAAAACAAGTTCATCTCTTGACCTGCACTTATTATAGGTTCTGTGCTAAGATCTTGATCTCAATGATTTCTGACATCCATCTATTACAATTATCCTGTTGGATTAGACATTCTAAGGCTACCTACAAGGCTCTCGGATGGCTATCAGAATATATGATTCTAGTGTCAACATAATACAAAGGGCAGAATCCCTAACTCTCAATTCCCAGTTTGCAATTCATAATTCTCAGCCCTTGAATAAACTTCTCACCAATGTTAAGAAAACAGCAGAAGGAAACCATATGAAACTCAAACTATCTGGACAAAGGGAAAATGTTGTTGTTTAATATAATACACAAATGCCAAAAAAAGGCAGTTACCAAATTTTAACCAAAAAAGACTGAATCCAAGCAACCAATTTAGCCTCTGTCATAAAAAAAAAAAAAAAAACCCTGAAGTAAGTATTCTATCTCACAAGGCAAAAAATATAATACAACTGAGAAACTGGGACACAAAAAGTTGTTCTTAAATTTCCCTCAACATGTATCAGTGTGCATGAGAAACAGAAAGTCCTCATGAGTTCCCTGATATTAAGTTCCAAATATGACACTATCACCTACAATCATAGCTTGGAAAACACACATATAGAGATTCACCTCTAAAGACTTTTTGAAATACTTGAAGGGTATATATTTAATTCCACAGCAATTTTGTTAAATCTGGTAGTATTTAGCCCACCCTACACATAAAAGGGAGCAAAAGGTTATGTGACACATTCAAGATTATATAATAGTTCAACATTTTAACCTAAATAACTCACTGAAATGGCTCAGTGAAATGATACAATTCCATACAGCAGGGGCATGCAAACTTTTCCTTAAAGGGCCAGATAGTAAACATTTTAGGCTTGTGGGCCATATGGTCTCTGTCACAACTACTCAACTCTACCATTGTAGTGTAAAAGCAGTCACAGAAAATAGATAATGAATGAACATGGCTCTGTTCCAGTAAAACTTTATTCATAAAAATAGGTGGCCAGCCCACAGGGATCAGCTATAGTTTGCTGATCCCCGACATATGGAATCACTTGCAGGCTTAGATAATCTTTGATCTGTAGGGAACTTATGAGAATGGGAAAATAAGACAAAGTAAAACCACATAAGCCCTTTCAGCTTTGATAAAGGGATTCATCACTGATCTAAGAAAATACGACTTTGACACAATAATTACAGGTCCTTGTTCAATTTACGCTCTTCTACACAAAAGACATATTTCCACTAGGACCCTGCCTGAGAGTAGTTGTGTGGCTTAAGAATAAAAGCGAAATTATATATTTATAAGTGATTATTTTCTTATTAATTAGAAGCTACATTCTTACTCTTAAAAAACTCCTCTGCCAAGATTCAACAAGGACATATTTAAGATTACTCACCCATATCTTGCCAGAGATGCTAAAAAGACCAGCCATTCCAGACATCCTAAAAAAAAATAAAGAGGAGAACCACTGGTGATGTATACTATGAAAAAACAAAACAGAACAAAACTCAAGTCACAAGGACTGTCCCTCTACTTCTTGCAATACATCGTCTTCTCTCTATGATTCACGTCTGTTCTTATAGAGCTTAGACTCCATGGCCATCACTTCAATCACTCTGCTGTAACTACATCAAATCCCCTGGCTCTTTCTGCCTCCATTGTACATACCTGGCAAAATCCCCAACCCTAGCAGCTGAATGTCTCTGGGGAAAAAAATCATATGACCAGCTGATTGTTCTCCCTTCACAGTCACAAACCTCAGCGAGCAGTAAATACTGCCCAATCCCAATGCAATTTTTAGGTTCTACCTGAGATGATAGCTCACGTCTTCTTCTCTCTCTTCAAACCTAAAACACCCTCCCCAAGCATTCTCAGCTAACACTCCTCCTATGTCACTGCAGAATCAGAAGCGATTATGTGATCTCTCTTATCTTCCCACCAACAAATGAGCCTGGTGTACACCTGCATCCACCTTCTCCTGTTACGACAGAGAAAGTCTATCTGCCCTGACCCAGCCCAAATTCTTCTCTTGTGCCTTGGATCTCTTTTGTCTTGTTAATGACTTGGTTCTTTCTGTCATCCCTTCTTCCTGCATTAGCAATTTCTCCCTCTCTGCTGGATCATTTCTTTTTTTTTTTTTTGTGAGGAAGATCAGCCCTGAGCTAACATCCATGCCAATCCTCCTCTTTTTGCTGAGGAAGACCAGCCCTGAGCTAACGTCTATTGCCAATCCTCCTCCTTTTTTTCCCCAAAGCCCCAGTAGATAGCTGAATGTCATAGTTGCACATCCTTCTAGTTGCTGTATGTGGGACGCCGCCTCAGCATAGCCCAACAAGCGGTGGGTCGGTGCGCGCCCGGGATCCGAACCCAGGCCACTAGGAGCAGAGCGCGCGCACTTAACCGCTAAGCCAAGGGGCCAGCCCCTGGATCATTTTCATCAGCATGAAAACCTGTGCTACACTCCCTCATCTTTTAAAAAGAGCATCTCTGGATCTCATATAGCCCAGACAAACTTCTCCAGAGTAGTCTACACTTGCTGTTTCTTCTTCCTCAGCATATCTTTAACCCATTCAAATTTGGCTTCCATCCTCACTGCTGCACCATCACTATTCGTCAAGGCCACAGCGACCTCACATTGCTTCATTCAACGTCCACGTCTCATGCTTGATCTTCCATCCTCTTGGTAACATGGGACACAATGAGTGCTCCCTCCTTCTTGAGCACCCTTTACTTGGTTTCTAGGAAACTGCACACTCCTGTTTGTCCTCCTACCTCACTGGTGCTCATCTACAATTTCCTTTTGCTGACTCCTTCTCTACGACTTCTTGATTTTGGGGTGTCTCGTGGCTTGGTCCCAAGTACTTTCTCTTTTTCCTTCTAAGTGATCCCCTCCCTTCTAAGGCTTTAAACACCATCTATAACCTTTGTATTTGTGTTCTCCATGGAGACCCATCTCCAAGCATCCAACCTGACAGCTCTACAAAGAAGTCTGCATCTCAAACATAACATGTTCAATGCTGAACCCTTGATTTTCTCTTGCTCAAATCAGTAGGTGGTCTAGTGGTTAAGATTCAGTGCTCTCACCACCATGGACCAGGTTTGTTTCCTGGTCAGGAAACCACACCATCTGTGAGTTGTCATACTGTGGTGGCTGCATGTTGTCTTAATGCTGAAATCTATGGCACTGGTATTTCAAATGCCAGCAGTGTCACCCATGGTGGACAGGTTTCAGTGGGGCTTCCACAGTACGACAAACTAGGAAGGACCTGGCCACACATTTTCAAAAAAATTGGCCATGAAAACCCTATGAATAGCAACAGAGTACTGTCTGATACAGCGCCGGAAGATGAAGAGGATGGCACAAAAAGAACGGGCAGGGTTCCACTCTGCTGTACACAGGGTTGCTAGGAGCTGGAATCGAGTCAGCAGCACTAACAACAACAAATCAGTGAGTACTTACACCACCAGGATCCACCAAGTACTCAAACCAGAAACCAAAGGAGTTTTTATTTGTGAATCTTCCCTCTCCTTCTTTCTCCTTGGCTCCTTGAAGAAAGCCAAGTTTACCTTCAAAACATTATTTTAAATTCACCCTTACTCTCCGCCCCCACTGCTGCCACCCTAATATGCACTCCCACCATCCCTAGGCTGGACACTACAACAGCCTTCTGCTTGTCTCACCTCACCCATTCCTGTCCTCTCCAATTTCTTCTCCGAAGAGCCACCTTCTCATTGTGTGCACTGAAAACATCCAAGCTCCCCACTGTGGCCACAGGTCCTGTATGACCTGGCTCTGGCCTCTCTTACTTGGCTCACACTATTCTCCCTCCCCTTCATTGTGCTCGACCCTGGCCACCTTTCTGCTCCTCTGCAAATCAAGCTCTCTCCAAACTGGGGCCGATGCACATGCTATAACCATTCCTGGGAACATTTCTCCCCGTGCTTTTTACCTGGCTCGGTCCTTCTATCCTTCAGATCTCACATATAATCCTCCTGTCAGAGTGGCGTCTCCTAGCCCCTCCATCTAATGTAGGTCCATAACCCCCAGTTACTCCCTGTTTCAGTAAAGCTGTGTTTGTTTTTAAACAGCCCTATCCAGACTATGATTCTTTGTATCCTTACTTTTTTTCTTAATCTGTCTTACTTTAAGTTACTTGAGGAGCAAAGGGACCACGTCTGTCTTGTTCACTGTTGAATATCTAGCAGCTAGAACAGTATCTGGCATAAAATCAGTGCTCAAATATTTGCAGAATGAAATGCCAGAGGTGAGCTGCTTTTTTTTTTTTTTAATTTTATTTATTTATTTATTTTTTCCCCCAAAGCCCCAGTAGATAGTCGTATGTCATAGCTGCACATCTCTCTAGTTGCTGTATGTGGGACGCGGCCTCAGCATGGCCGGAGAAGCGGTGCGTCGGTGCGCGCCTGGGATCCGAACCCAGGCCGCCAGCAGCGGGGCGCACGCACTTAACCGCTAAGCCACGGGGCCGGCCCGAGGTGAGCTGCTTTGTAAGCTATGTATTTCCTATGTATTACATAGATACCACTAGATGAGTTATTTCTGAATTATTGCATGATTTGCTTCTATTTCAGCAGGATATTTTTCACATTTGTTAAAAATGTAAAATTTTTACACTTTTACTTTACATTTTTTTATACTCTGGAAGCTCCACTGAAACCTAACATAAAATTACAAATATGATAATTCATTCAAAATTAAAACTAACTGTGGAAAAAGTCATTATTGTTTGGCTTTATCTACCTCACCAAGTATTATACAGTTTGTTATCATGGCCAAAAGTTACTCCCAGAAGTATTCTGCTAGGTAGCCAAAGATACCATAGGTTTTATTTTCCACACAAGATACAATAGCAATTCTTTCATGAACTATATATAATTCGAGAAAGAGTTACTCTTTTATCTTGTCAATAATTTAAAAGGAAGAAAGAATGGTAAATGATGTTCAATATCATATTTTGTAAAGAGAAAACAGTTAGCATGGCTCAGCACAAAAACTGGAGAGGAGGTTTTCAGTAACCCACCAAATCTGCTACTTAATTCCCAGCATACTAACAACTGGCTAAAACATATGGGGTCATAAACCAGAAACACCACACAGGCCAAGCATGGTCATGTGTAGTCTGGGTAATCAGAAGTGAATATGAAGAAAAAATGTAGGCTTTCAAGGTCCATGGCCTGTTCATTTGATACCTCCTGTTCTATTCAGAACACCTTGTCATTAAAAAAAAATCAAGTTACGTTAGAGAAGCCGGGGACTTCCAGCCAGTCAGAGGCTCAACTGATTGCCATTTCTTCTCTAAGATATAATTCTGCAGGTCTTCGTAGATTCCTGGGCCACGATAACGGCGGAATATGCCATCCTTTGCACTATAAATTATGAAAATAAATCAGTTAAAATAACAAATGTTACAAATAATAAAAATCAAAATAACTATTGGTTTTACACGTGAACTCCACTCTGAATTTTAACTTGGCTCAAATGAAGAAAAAATATTATGGTTAGGCATGAATCAGAAAGCAAACATAATGAGAAATTCCAAAAGAGAAAGGATTAAACTATTTTATCACTGCACAATTTGTGACTATAAGCAAAGTTCTTGGCAGTGTTTAATCTGCCAAGTTACTTTTTATTATTTTTGCTACCAATTATTTTGATTTTTCTTACAACAGCAAAGCAGCAATTGTTATCAAGTTTTAAAAAACTGTATCCACATTTCCAAATTTATGTCATTCAAGTCCCTCCCCTCAAAGTCAACAAAACATCTCTTAGTCTCACATGCCCCTTCAGTCTTCCCTCCCTCTCGCTTTCTCACCAGTCAAGCTTCCCAAGGGAACAGTCTACGCTTGCCATTCTCTCCTCTTATATTACTCATTCACTACTTGGTGTGATTGAGGGTTCTGCTTCCACGACTCCATTGAAACTACTCATAATGGGGGTCTCCAATGACTCCTAAGTGCCATATCCATGGAACACTTTTCTGCCATTTTTCCTTTGTCTGTCATTGGCACTGTCCACTACTGAAGACCCTTCCTTTCTCCTTTCTCTTGGCTTTTATGACATTAGCTCTCTGGACTTCTTCCTACTACTCTGACCATTCCTTCTCCCTGTCTTCCTTTGTAGACGTCCTAACGTTGGTCAACCCCAGGTTCTATCCTTGACCTGCTTCTCTTCCCATTGCGTATGTGTTCTCTAGATATATTCTAACTGTTACCTACCTAGACGCTGAGGAAGACCCAACATGTATCTCTAGTCTGGATCTTTCTTCTGAGCTCTAGATCTTGACATCACATTGTCAATTAAACTTCTCCATTTGGAACTAGCATAGGCACTGCACACTATTTTCTCCATTCCAGCCTCTATCTTCCAAACTTCATCTTATTCTAATGGTTCCTCAATAGCTTTTATGAGTTATACATGGCCTGTTGGTAGTCATCACTGGCTCTTCCTTTCCTATGGCTAATCAGTCACCAAGTCCCTAAGTATCTCTGGAATCCACCCCCTCCTTTCTCTTTCACCTGTCCCTACCTGAGCCTCATCACCCAGGATGATCCAACCGCACCCTATGGGCCAGCCATAAAGAACCACTTACAGTTCCCAGAAGTTCTCCTTTTCTCCTGGGCTTTTCCATCATATCTCCTCTATCTGGAAAGGCCTTGTCTGCTTAACCAATTCCTATTTAACTATTAAGAATCACCCCACCTTTTATATCATCAGAAAAATCTTCTTTGACTCCCCCACCAATTCACTGCCTGAAATCAGGTTCCTTTCTCTGCAGCACTTTGGGTATTTCTCTCCTCTAACAGCTATTATTCAGTGCAGACCAGTCTTTCTCCTGAATGAGCGATGGTTTTGGAGAACAACTTAGAATTCCCGGTATACATCTACTGATTTCTAATTTTTGCAAGACCAAAAAATTATTTAAACTTACTGAAAAAACGCTGGGAGAGTGGTGACAAAGAAGCGGCCACTCAAACCTACAAGAAGCATAAACAGAAAAGTTACAAGTCAAACTCAGACTGACCTAAACACCTAACTTAAGTTCTAAAACAAGCAGCCTTGAGCTTACTTTCATAACCACATTATTAAAATCATTACAATTATTGAATCACATTTACTATTTCATTTTTGACTTAAAGAAATTTTTTTTTTCCCCGTTTTTATTTACCTAACACTTTCCAGTCACTGACATACAACTTGCTTATCTTCTATATGTTACGCTGGAGTTTTCTGGCCTGTGAATCACTTGGAATTGTATAGTGGCTGAAAGGATAGGTTTTAGAGTCATGCAATCCGGGTTAAATACTAAATTCTCCATTTACTAGCTTTGTGACCTTAGATAAATTACTTAACCTTTCTGAGTCTCAATTACTTCATCTGTAAAATGGGTATACTAAAGACTACCCGAATTGTTCTGAAGTTAGATTAGATCAGTATGTTAAGTGCTTAGCACATAATAAAGGACTCAATAAATTATTATTACATCAGTTTTAAGATTAAAAAGAACAATAAAGAATATGAAATAATAAGATCATGTATAATCTTTGCACATTTATAAAATTTGCAAGTTCTGTCAAGGAACTCTATGTACATTAAACAGATGTTTTCAATTTGTCTTAGCAAACCTTTACTGAGCACTAACCATATATCAAATGCTATGCTGGATCCATGTGAAGACAAAGACAAATAAAACCCTTAGTCACCCAGGAAATATTTACTGAGCAACTTCTCTGTTCCAGGGACTGTGATAACTGCTCAAGACACAGATAAGCAAAACACGTACAGTCTTTGTTCTCACACAGCTTACAGCCTAGTGGAAGAGGGAAAGAACTTAATAATCACAATCATGGCTATAAACAGAGATAGATGATATCAAGAAAGGAGCATGCAACAAAAACCTAAATAAGAATAGGAGTAAAGAATAGATCCCTGCTCTTTAAATGTTTACAAACAAATATTTATATGGATACCAAGAGTGAGTAAGCCTGGGCTGGCAAAGAGAAAGAAAGGTAAAGGATCCTCCTGGCCAGTATGGAAAAATGACAGAGACACTATTTTAACATTTCTCATCACTTCTGCCTTTCCCACTCAAGAACAATCTGGACAAAATTAAATATCTAATCAAATAAAGTGGCTCAAATTTTATATCTCTGTGGTCACTTGCAATTTGAAATACTGAAGCTTTACTTTCAATAACACGGGAAATTTTCTTATACCCATCTTATAAATTAAACCTATACTCAGCATAATAATTTATTGATTAATGATGAGTCTTCCCAAAAGATTCTTTATTTTTTCTCATATCAAATCAAATAGACTTTAAAACATCCCTATGGCACTTAAAAGAAAACACAGTACTCTGAAGGTAGTAAAAGTGTTTGTTACAAAAAGAAACATTTATTACATACATTTATTATCGTACATTAAAGAAAAAAAAAAAAAGATTGTAGTGGCAATCACAAAAACACAAGGGACCTGAGAAGTCAACTGAGGATTGCTAACAAGCATCTCTGTCTACAGGGCATTTTCACCTCTAACTTTGCTTGGAATTCCAACCTAGCAGGGAACAAAGGTATCTTTTAGTACATTTCCAACTCTAAATCGCCAGAGGACAAAGTCTTGGTAATTCTAAGTGCTTAAAAATTATCATATGCTTTTGCTTAAAATAAATATTACAAATAGTTTCATATCTCACTTCTTTCCTAGCTACAGTCTTATGACCACCCAAAAATTTTATCTAAAGAGAGTCACAGCGTTAGAGAATTATGCTTTACTTATATGACTTTTAAAATGGAAGGAACAAACAAAGAGCATCCCATCACTTGTTCAAGTTTCTATATAGATTTTATTTTTATCACAATAAATAGATAGGATTTCTAATAAATGTTAGGTACACTGAAGGTGCTATTTTTAACTTGTTCTTTAAAATCCTTCATATGTTCTTAGTCATCATTGGCCATGGAAATATATAAAAAAATAAATATAAAAAATATTTCATAAAACACATTAAATTATATGATATGCGAAACAATATTTCCAGATTCGAGGGCCAGGTGGGGTCAAACCCCACTTCTGCCTCTTATTAAATGTTTTTAATCTGGGATAGCTAATTTAAACTCTCTGGGCCTCAGTTTTCTTATTATAGATGGGCATCATAATTTCTATCCTGTAGTACTTCAGCATTAAATGATTTTATATTTATAAAGCACATACAGAACAGTATCTGACACATAACAAGGACTAAACCAATGCTAGCTATTATTTTCTATATTTAAATCTCTGATTCAAAGTTAGAATAAAACAAGAGGATATAATAAAGATAAACTAATTTAGTCTTAAGTGCTTTGGAAATTGTACATTATTTTGGATAACATATCTTTAAAAATAAATGTGCCCATGAAAATCAATGAGTACAGAGAAAATAAGAAAAAAGAAACACAGTGGCAAATGGTCTCTGAGATTTTTCTGCATCTTTCTGGTTCAGGATAAAAGGTATAACAGGACACTTGTTCCCAAAATTGTTAGATTAAAGGGTATAAGAATTTTATGGTTCTTGATATGAATTGCTATTTTGTTTTCCATAACTATTTTACCAATTTACAAGATCATCAATTAAGGTTCATTTAAAATAAAGACCATTATTAATAAATTGTAGCACCTGAAGACTGTTTTCATTGATGTTTCTTCATCAATATTTCTTCAAATGACAACTCATGTGGAGTATTAATAATAAGGTTATAGCATCTAACTCAGATATGAGTTTGGTTCGTTGTCTGGAATAATATACTGTCGCTGAGGATGTATTCAGTAAAATCTACAACAAAATCAAGTAGTCAAAGTAGTCCTTAGATTATGACACACTATTAAGCCCTTGAAGATGTGACACCACAGGAAATTCATCTCAAATAAATTTCACTTGTGAGAGGGTGAAAGACATCAGAAAGCTCTGGATCTCATGTCGTGCTCCAAAAATGTCTTCTAACCTTTAATACTGACGCTATGAAGTGTCAAGGGAGACTTTCGTTACCTGAAAAGTTAAAACATTAACACCTTGGAATAGAGAAGTACTATCTGAGGTTGTGCCTTCAGGGTTTAAAAACAAGTGTGGATTGTAAAGAAACAAGTGCACTCTTAAATCTTTAAATACAAGACATAAAGTTTGACCACAAAGTCTCCCAAAATTTCTGCATGCCTTTTTTACTATAGGGGTAATTTCCACTTTAAAATGAAGATTGTATTACAACATAAAAGGGGCATTAATCCAGAACGCAGGAAAAAAATTAATTTCTTATTAGCAAGCTTATCTTCAACACATATAGCAAAAAACAAAGAATTAAAAGATTAGAGAAAAATTATGGCAGAGAACTATATTGATATGCAAAAACACAATAGAAATTATTTAAGTTCAATATTAAGAAAATGGGGATAGCTATTAGCTTTTGTTCTACAGCTAACAAGCTGTGTTACCTTGCGCATATTATTTAACCTCTCTGAGCCTCAGTTTTCTGAATCATATAGAGATAAATAGTTTGTTCTTCCTACAGTTGTTACGAAGCTAAAATGTATGTAAGTGCTTACCGCAATTACAGGCTGAAGTAAATGCTTACAAAGTGTTAGTTATTATCATTAAAGAAAGTAGAAGAAGGAAAACAATGAAAAAAAGTAGAACTAACCATACCTTCGAGATTGAAATAAAGTTGTTGATATAATAGAATACAAAAGACTAATTATTATAATTACAAAATTAAAATATTAACAGTAACTGAAGTACAGTAAACTAAATTGGCTTCAATAATAAATTCGTGGTTTTAAACTCAATGCTTATTCTTGGCCATGGTAGGGATCTGGTTTACCTCTAATCTAGTGAAATGACCATCACTCATGTGTGCTCTGTGAGCAGCTGCTGTTTTCCTGTCCTTGACAACTAAGCTTATCTGCATAGAACAGAAGGTTCAAGTACTTACTCATTAAATTTAACTTCCCCAATTCAGCTCAACTGAAACCTCACCTGGTCTATGCACTATTAAACAGGCAATGTAATGTAACCTAATCTAAGGCCTGTCCTTTCCTTGACATCTACATCTCAGCTATAAAAATGCAATGTGCTTATTGCAATTCCCAGTCTTGATAATTCTGAAATCTTATTTTCTGTTTAAAATACCTAAGAAAATCGCCTATTTGATATACCAATGAAAGAATTATAAGGGTATGACCTATGAAATTCATACTGAGGAAGAATTATTAAAGAGTAAGAATGATAAAATTCTTGAGTAAGAATTATAAAAGAATTACTAAAGAGTATGCATGAACACTTCAAAAATTCTTGCTTTCTCTTCTTTTTAAATTTTACTTGCAGGGAAAAGAAATGAAATTATCTCTTATCAGCACTCCTGTGGCAAGGCAGCCCTGAGGAAAGAATATACTAATGGAGATCTGTAACCGAATATAAATCTGTATTCAGCAATACCCAATAAAGTGCTCAATTGTAGGGAAAAATAATATCATTTCAATGGTTTCCCACTGCTCATTCAGGATGTTAGACTTTGTAAAAATGAAGTAAATATGCAAACAGCTCCCAAGAATAGGGACAAGCTGCCCGGAGGCTTGCCAGTGAATTAGTACCACATAGGACACTCTCTTCATTTGGCCTCCAGGATCCCCCTTCTTCTCCATCTCCCTCCTACCTAACTGGCTTCTCCTTTTCCTCTGCTGCAACTACTTCTTTTCTTCTAAATGTTGGAGTGCTCTGGTTCTCAATCCTCAAAACAGTTCCCTGGCACACACTCTTTAGGTAATCCCAATTCTTCCCCTCATTTCAAATACCGCCTACACTGACGACCCTCAGTTGTACATCTCTAGCTCATCTCTATTTGGATTTCTATTAAACATCTCGAACTTCAACTCTGTCCCAAACCTGTTCCTCCTTCAGGCCTCTTCATCTTTTCTCTTTCCACCAAATGCTACAACCAGTCTATCAGGAAATCCTTTTGGATATTCCAGCCAAATGTAGTATTTCAAATCCAATCACTCACCATTGCTGCTACCAGTCCAAGACACCATCTTCTCAACTCATGGACTACTGCATTAACCTCCTAACCGCTCTTCCTGCTTTCACTTCTGACTCCCTAAAATCAATGTTCACATAGTAGCCAAAGAGATTATTTTAAAACATAAATCATATCACGTCACTCCTCTGCTCAAAACCTTCCAGGAGCTTCCTTCCTATCATACTTCATACAAAACCTAAACTCCTTTGCCATGGCCAAGAAGACCTTTCATGGTCTGGTCCCTAGCTACCTCTCCAGCCTCATTTATCTCAAGTACCCTGCTGGCTGTCATATTGTTCCTCAAATAAGCCAACTACACTCTCACCTGCACAGGCTGTTTGCTCTGCCTGGGGTGTTCCTCCCCGTAAGATGTTGAAATTCAGTCCCTCAATCTGTCAAGACCTCTGGTCAAACAGTCCTTCCCTGGACATCCTATTTAAAATAGTGGCTCCCATCATTTTCTACATTTTTACCCTGCTTTATTTTTCTTCACAGCCCTTACCACCAACAGACAATATTTTCCATTTTACTTTTGTTACTGTTTATCTCCTGCACTGGAATGTAAACTCAATGAGGAGCCAGCTCTTTGTCTTCCTTATTCACCTCTGTATCACTGATATCCAGATCAGGGCCTGGTACGTGGTAGGAACTCAAATATTTGAATAAACACATTATTTCTAAACTCTGTTAGAAGATTAGTTGAAAGCATTAAATTTAAATTACTTTATAATTTAAAGTAAAATTATACTGGGGCCAGCCCGGTGGCGTAGTGGTTAAGTTTGCGCACTCTGCTTTGGTGGCCCAGGGTTTGCAGGTTTGAATGCTGGGTGCAGACCTATGCACCCTCATCAAGCCATGCTATGGCAGCGTCCCACGTATAAAATAGAGGAGGATGGGCACAGAGGTTAACTCAGAGCCAATCTTCCTCAGCAAAAAGAGGAGGATTGGCAACAGATGTTAGCTAAGGGTCAATCTTCCTCCCCCAAAATAAATAAATAAATAAATAAATACAGTGTATAATTTAAATAAATAAATAAAGTAAAATTATAAATATAAAATAGTATGATCTGAAGTGAAATATTCTCTAGGCCACTCAATCATGTGTGTAGAATTTTGTCTCCTAAATTGTATTTATGAGTTACAGGGGTTTTTTTTTCCAATTATTTTTTTGAGGTCATATTAGTTTATAACATTCTATAATTTCAGGTGTACATTATTATTTATATACAGTTTTTACGTTTTTATCATTTAAAAGAATTCGAGAGCCTCTACTTTAAAAAACTGTTCTACTATATAAAACAATAACTTCCTTTTTTGGACTTTTTTTCTTCACTATTCCTATAGAATACCGTACCAAAGACTTTCTTCCCTCCTCTTTGATAAAGATTTCAAATATATATAGTTTGTTAAATATTATGAGTCAATGATGAATTTGTTTTTTAAACATTTTATCACAATTTCTGTCTTACATTATTATCAAAAAAGCACTTAATCCATTCACAATGGAAAAATAACTGTAAGTCTATACTTTAGATGGAAAGACTATATTCAATTAAACTAGATTTGTGAATCCATCACAAAGCTAACTGTTTAATTCTTTTAATTCAAATCACGCTGTGAAATCACAGCAGGTATACCAAATGGCTGAAATGTGAATAGGCCCGTTGCATTTCTAAGAAATTCATCATAAAATGTGTCTGGTGCCCACTAATTAACAAGGTTTATAACTGATTTCATTGGACTGAAACTACTAAAAGATGAAAACAAGTTTACAGCAAAACGGTAAATACAATAACTTGACCTCCAAATAGAATAACTTATTTTAATAGCCAAAACCATGAACTAATAAATAAAATCGTCCATCTTTAAATAGTAGAGGGGCAGAAGTGGCTTTCATTCAAATGCTTAAAAAGGTGGAGGCTTGAAGACTCATGGCTTTTAACAGAAACCCCTCTCCATGAGTTTGTCAAGACATCCATCTTAACAGACACCATCCATTTTGTTGTCCAAGTAATTGGTAATCCATTACTTTGTGTTTTTTGAACTCACAGTTATTACAGAAAGGTAACAGCTACACTTCCATACCTACCTCTTTTTTTACCTTGTAAAGGGATGCAATAGGTAGAAATTGAATGTAGATAGGAAAAAATAACTAATAAAAATTTGAACATAGTCAAATTTGAATCTATAAAAGCCCAACTTTTCTTCTCAATTTATATATATATATATATATATATATATACACACACCATTATTTTTAAACTACCAATACAAATTGTGTGTATCTTTCCAGAATTTAAAAGTCTCCTTTATCTCCCTCTTTCTTCTGAAAAATTACATCATTAACAGCTGGAGATGGAATGAGAATTAGAAATTCAACAATTCTGGAACTCACGATGAAATATTTGACTCAGGTAGGATCATCATGGATCTTAAAATCCCAAAGAATCACCCCCCCAGATTACTTACTAATCACAAAGTGGGGTCTTTTCTTTATAAATGAGGTGTTTAGTGTCATCACCTTAATCCAAGTGCTCAAACTCAATATCACTAATGGTGACAGTATATGTCTTCTGATGGGATACAATATAAAGTCACAGCATCACCTATGACATACTCTTGACATAAATGTCTAGCCTGAATCATGCCTCTAGACTGACATTTAGGTTTACAGAAAATGCCATAATACATTAAATGTCACTATAAGGAAACACTTAGGCAAATCCCTGGTCTATTCTCTTCAGAATATCAATATCATGAAAAAAATGGGGGACTATTCTAGATTGAGGGCAACTAAAAAAACATAACAACCAAATGCAAATGGTGAACTTTGATTAGATCCTGGCTCAATAAACTGTAAGACACATGGAAAATAATTAGGGAGATTTTAATATGCCAAAATATTAAAGGGTAAAGTATCAGGTTGTCTGCAACTTATCTTCAAAAGACCCAGCAAAAAATAATAATAACAAAAATGTAAATAAACATATACACATATATATGTGTAAACAGACTCAGATATGCCAAAATGTTATCTGTTGATTCTAGATGGTCAGTTCATGGGTAACCAATATCCTAGTTTTTCAACTTTTCTATATGCTTGAGAATTTTAAAAATAAAAAGTAACAAACTTTTGCATTTAATGTTCAACATTCACAGTACCTGGTTCTTGAATGACATCTACCTTCCCCACACTGATCTGAAGTATTTCACCATTCTTTGCAAACATCTCCCATTCTGAATCAGTCTGCTGGCAGGATGGACACCAAGGGGCATAACTATAAAAGAAGAATGGCTAATCAATATAAACATATGAAAAAATCTGTAAAATAAAATAGAGAAATAGAGTAAAGAGAAGCACAAAAGCAAGCTTTTCCAAAGTCATTTGATATAGACAAACAGAAGCATACTTCCCCCCTAGAATTTAATGATGAATATCAATTCCCTGGGGAAAAAATTAGCCAAAGTTTACGAAGATTTTCACAAATCATTATAATACATAAAATATTTTATTTCACTGTTATTCTCACAATCAATCCAAATTTTGTCACTTTCCAGATAGCTTTTGATTTTTGAGAATGAACACTGTTTTGAGAGCCCCACTAAAGGAGGATACTAGCCAAACCAGTTTCAGATTCATCAAAGCTACAGATCTGATGAACAGAGACCAGAAGATCTGTTGCCAGTGGGTCCTCAAGAAAGTGAGTCATTTCCAAAGATCAGAAGTCATTTCAACCATTCTGAGAAAGCTATAGGCTAAACCAGTTTTACCCGACACTTTCTTAAGTAGGAGTCAGAAATACCTGGGCCTTCAACCAGAATCCTGGTTTTTACATTTATTTTTTCATTCAATAAACATGAACTAAGCACTATGCTACAAGCTGAAGCTACAACAACTGTGAACAAGACAGACGTGTTGCCTCCTCTTCTTGTGGATTGTACAGCCCACAGAAGAACAGAGGTAAGACCAGGCATAATTACAATCCAGGTGGCAAATGCCATGGCTGAAAGTGTGGAACAATGCTATGGAGACACTCAGGAGCTGGGTGATCTCAGAGGGGTCCACAGAGAAAGAAGTATATGTCCTAAGATTTAAAGTAGGCGGCAACAGCCAGAGAGGGGTCAAGGAAAGTTCTAATCTAAGCAGAGAGAATAGCATGTGTGAAGGCTGAGTACTGAGAGGGGATGGTGAAGACATCATCTACAGCTTTTAAAAAAGTTATAAAAGGAGTTAGGACTTTATTTGAAGCTCCACGGTAAGCCCTCGAGAGGTAAGAGAATTATGATCTGATTTACATTTTGGAAAAATCATTTGTAATTTTAATGGATCAGGGAAAACTAATGGATCAGGGAAGGATGAGATGGAATCAAAGAGAAGAACTGGAAGGCTGGGCCATCATCCTGGCAAGACGCTCGTGGCCTCACTCTGCTCTGAGCTGGTCCTGGAACACATCAAAAATACTCAGAACATAAAGCTCCAAAGTGATCCAGGATTTCATCTGCAGATGTTAAAATGGGACCTGGAGAAGCGTGCTGTTTAGAAAGCAAAGTGGATTGAATAGTATGCCCTAAAAAAATATGTCCAAGACCTAACCCTGGTACTTGTGAATGTGACCTTATTTGGAATAAGTGTCTTTACCCATATTATTAAATTAAGGATCTCGGGATGAGATCATCCTGGATTTAGCGTAGACCCTAAATCCAATGACTAGTGTTCTTTTATAAAGAAAGAAAAGGGAGATTTGACACAGGGACACTGGGGGAAGGCTATGTGAAGATGGAGGCAGAGATATGTTATGCAGCTACAAGCCAAGAACACCAAAGATTGCCAGCAGCCACCAGAAGCTGGAAGAGACACGGAATACTCTCTCATAGAGCCTGCAGAGTGAACTAATCCTGCTAACATGTTGATTTTGGATTTTTGGTCTCCAAAATCGTGAAAGTATAAATTTCTGTTGTTTTAAGCCACCAAGTTTGTGGTCATTTGCAGTAGCCGGAGGAAAATAAAATAGAAAGGAAGATATCACTTGAAATTACATGGAATTGAGATCAGATATGCCTTATGGAGGCTTAAAGACCTGCTAGGGCTATACTTAATTTAAAATACTGTGAACAAACAATAACATATGCTGGAAATCCATTTTAAAATACTAACATATGACACAAGTAAAAGGAAAATTAACATTTACAGAATAATGTCACAAAGATACATTAGTACAACTGAACAGATATTTTGTTTTGCTTAATAATACCCAGAAGAAAAAAGCAGTAAATTAAATAAATTAACCAATGCTCACAAAATAGGCAGGATACTCCAGGAAAAAAAAAATCATCAGATACTTTGAATAATATTTCAGGATGCCACCAACTACATATGATATTTTAAAAATCTGCTTAAATTATACTTCAAAAATATTTTTAACTCAAGTCAAAATACTGAAGGAATAAATGCAACAGATACTAAAAAAAAAGATTTGATATCACTGAATTGTTTATGTACAATGGGTGAATGTTGTAGTATGTAAATTATGCCACCAAGGAGTAGAGGGCAGGAGATATAGATGAACCCAAATTGGCAATATATTGATAATTCTTGAACCTGGATGATGGAAATTCACTATACTACTCCTTATATTTTTGTATATGTTTGAAATTTTTCATAATAAATAGTTTTGTTTTTTTTAAAGACTTGATTGAATGGAAAGATATACCAAGTTCTGAATGGGCAGGTTCAGCATTGAAAAATGTCAATTCCCTCCAATTTATTTTCCAATTTTTCCATTCCTGAATTGTTTTTACAAAATGTGGCATCTATTATTTTTGCATTAAGAGAAGAAAGCGGCAGGGGTGAAAGAGAAGTAGGAAAGAATGCCTGCTAAAAAAATAAAACACACACATACACATACCGATGGGAAAAACTGCCTTAGGGAAGGAAATAAAGGGGAAAAAGTGCTAAACAACTGATCAAATTCTGTAACAAAATTTAGGCTCAAAGTGTCACCAACTAACTGCCCTAAGTAAGTCACAGGAGGTTGCAAAAGCACTTAACTATTTCTCAAAGTTGTTTTTTAGTTATGGTAAAGAGATGCAATCAGCAACTGCCCTGAACCAGTCCAAACCCCACTGCAAGAGCAATGCCCGCACAGACAGGCCGAGAAGTGACCAAAAGTTACCTTTGCTTCATTTTCATGTTAAGATTTCTGTCCCAGAAGGAGCTTAAGCCTTACTAGCGTAACATGTGATATATGTGAAAGCATGTTTCACACTACACCTGTGCGAGCTTACACCCACCTCTACACGTGATGATGAAACTTCCCTTTAGAATATTCATTCCCCATCAGAAATAAAAGGCCCCTGCTTTCCCTTGCTTGGAGAGCCATGGCTTTGGAAGTCATTCCCCATGGTCTCCTTTATTTGCTGCAAAAAAATTTTACTTTCTGTGACAACTACTTCTGATAAAAGCTTTGATTTCAACTCACCAAGAAGCAAACTCACTTTGGTTCAGTAACAAAAGGTACTGTCTGGTCATTATTTACAAATCCTTTTATCTTTAACTGAGCAGAAGCATGTATATAAGTGTCATTCAAAACTCAATGCAGTGATGCATACAAACCAACTTTGCTAAATAACAACAACAACAAACACCTGAAATTGGGCAAAGACATTGGTCTTTCACATTACAAAAAGACGATGGAGTAGGTGGTAAAAAGTCAAGACTCGGGGGAATGCATTTATTTCAGTAAAAGTATTGAGATTGGAAAAAGCCCAGAAGAGACAGGGCTGCCCAAAGCAAGGCATGTATTTTTCTTTCCAGGTAGGCCCCAGAAGCAACCAGACTTAGTAAGCACATTTGTTCATCCTCTCAACTCCATCTCTAAAAAAGACTAGTATAGCCAATGCCAAGATCATTCTAAAAGGTCATTAATCTTCCCATTACAGCTCACTGTCCAGTCTCTCAGATCCAGGACACATAGACCAGAGACCATGATCCAAGAACAATCTGCTGACATCTTTGAATGGGGATTTTTTTTTTTAAACACTTGTATTTCTATATTTCCAGGGCAAAGTATATTCCTCGTATACAGTAAGTGCTCCCTAAATATTTGCTGAATAAATAAATGAACAAACTTTAGAGAAAATTATACTCCTCACTGACAAAATAATTATTTTCTATATATTTTCTAAATATTCTGCCATTTGAATATTAAACAAAGATAAACAAACGCCCTTGAGGTAATTTTAGATATTCCTTCTATGTAGCTGCTACCCGCTGGTCTATCACACTGTTAATGCATTTAAAGATATAATGAGAGCTTATTGTGTTGGACTGCACCAAGTTCATTCATTAACCTAGTGTGTTCTTCTGGAGGTGGAGATAAGCCAGCTCTCTGTCTCAGGTGTGGGAATTGTTCCACCGTTGTTGTAGCTTTTAAAATCATTAGTATTCTTTTGTATTCAAAGGATAGCAATTTAGACAGTAATTTAGAACCTACTATAAGTAAAATACCTCCAGGGGCCAAATGAACACAAAGAAGGAAAGTCATGTGACCTTCATGCTCTTCTCTCCTGTGCTCTCTTTCTCTCTGTGTTGGTATATACATATGTATATATAAATGTAATTTATTTATGTACATATGCATGATAAAACTCATCAGAAAGGACTGAACACAATCTTCATTTATATTATTTAAAACTAGGCCATAGTGGCAATCTTCTCCTAAGAACTATAAAAGAGTTCACCTGCCATAACTTTGTCTTTTACATTCAAATTAATCCTTCTTTGATTTAAGAGCCTCTAATTCCAAGAAGAATTAGAACGTTTATAGTCATGGAAACTATAAAACAGCATCTTTTCTATTTAAACTTTTGGCAGGTGACAGTGGTATATAAAATTAGTAAGCTTCATGAAGACTTAGTGGTATTTGAAATACATTCTATATAGCCAAAACACTGTTAAATTACACCAACTTGGATATCAGTCCAATGATTTTATCCATTTCTCGGAAACAAAATTCAACAGCATGCTTTTGTTATCCATGTTAGTATTTATGTACAAATTATACTTAGGTTCTGCTATTTGTAAAGTGGTTGAAGGTCCTTGATTCTTTAATTGCATGACTCACTGAATTTGGTGTGAGATTTCATCAAGTATACTAAAACACTTCAGGGGAAGGGGTTACTTAAATATATTTCCTAGAAATAAAATTTTACCATAAATACATTTTTATTCCCCAAAAATGGGCAATTTTCTTCCATCTTGGCTCAAATTTAACCAGTG